AAGAAGAAGAAGGAAAAAAATGGTTTAGGTGTTTCTTTTGCTTCCTTTCGAGATATTTTCCGAAATGAGGGAGGAAGAAAACAGAACAGGTGGATGGCGAAGGAAGGAATGTATAGATAGGCAATAAACAAATACCTGTAACTGTGTCCATCTTTAAATTCTTATCATATCTATATATCTATTATCTACAACATATAAAATAATTATGTATACATACGTACACACACCCACACCACATACACACACACATACACACACATACACTCATACACACACACACACACACACACACACACACACACACACACACACACACACACACACACACACACACACACACACACACACACACACACACCACACACACACACACACACACACACACACACACACACACACACACACACACACACACACACATATATATATATATATATATATATTATTATATATATTATAATATATGTACATACATATATATATATATATATATATATTATATATATATATATAATATATATATATATATATATAGATAGATAGATAGATAGATAGATATAGATATGTATATATATATATAATATATATATAATATATTATATATAATATTATATATATATATATAAAGAAAAAAATCACGACAAACAGAGAAAAAAAATAAGAAGAATAAGATATGAAGAAGAAATGAAGACGAATGATACTAAAAGAAGAACGAAAAAATAATACGAAAAAACTCATAGCGCGTGCTATTCCCCTCTTCCTTCTTCTCTTCCTCCTCATCTCTCCTTCCCCTTTCCCCCTTTCTCTTTTCCTTTGTTTTCTCCCTTCCCCTACTTTCTTTCCTTCCTTCTCCTCTTCATCTCTCCTTTCCCCTCTTTCCCTCTTCCTGCACTCCCTATTCTTTCCTTCCTTCCCTTCTTCATATCTCCTTAATCCTTTCCCCCACTTTATTTAACCCCTTCCCCTCCTTTCTTTCATCTCTTCCCACTTATCTCTTCTTCCCCCTTTTCCTCTCTTTATCTCTCCTTCCCCCTCTTCCCTCCTTTATTCCCCCTTTCACTTCTTTTTCTCTCCTTCTCTTATCCTCTCCTCCCCTTCTTCCCCTCTTTATCTCACCTTTCCCCTCTTCCCCTCTTTTCTCTCCCCCTCATATCTCTCCTTCCCCTTTCCCTTTTATCTCACCTTCCCCCTCTTCATCTTTCCTTCCCCCTTTCCCCTCTTTCTCACCTCCCCTCTTCCCCTCTTTTCTCTTCCCCTCTTCATCTTTCCTTCCCCCTTTCCCCTCTTTATCTCACCTTCCCCTTCTTCCCCTCTTTTCTCTACTTCCCCTTTCACCTCTTTATCTCACCTTTCCCCTCTTTTCTCTTCCCCTCTTCATCTTTCCTTCCCCCTTTCCCCTTTTTATCTCACCTTCCCCCTCTTCCCCTCTTTTCTCTTCTTCCCTTTCCCTCATATCTCACCTTCCTCCTCATTCTCTCTTCCCCCTCTTCATCTTTCTTCCCCTTTCCCTTCTTTATCTCACCTTCCCCCTCTTCCCCTCTTTTCTCTCCTTCCCCTTTCCCCTCTTTTCTCACCTTTTCCCTCTTTTCTCTTCCCTCTTCATCTCTCATTCCTCTTTCCCCAATTTATCTCACCTTCACTTTCATCTTTCCTTCCCCTTTCCCCTCTTTATCTCATCTTCCCCTCATCATCTTTCCTTCCCCTTTCCCCTCTTTATTCACCTTCCCTCTTCTCTTTCCTTCCCCCTTTCCCCTCTTTATCTCACCTTCCCCCTCTTCATCATTCCTTTCCCCTTTCCCCTCTTTATCTCACCTTCACATTCTTCTTCTTTCCTTCCCCCTCTCCCCTCTTTATATCACCCTACCCCTCTTCCCCTCTTTTCTTTCCCTCTTTATCTCACCTTCCCCTCTTCATCTTTCCTTCCCCTTTTCCCCTTATCTCACCTTCCCCCTCTTTATCTTTCCTTCCCCTTTTACCCTCTTTATCTCACCTTCCCCCTCTTCATCTTTCCTTCCTCCTTTCCCCTCTTAATCTCACCTTCCCTCTTCATCTTCCTTCCCCTTTTCCCTCTTTATCTCACCTTCCCCCTCTTCATTTTCTTTCCCCCTTTCCCCTCTTATCTCACCTTCCCCCTCTTATCTTTTCCTTCCCCCTTTCCCTCTTATATCACCCTACCCCTCTTCCCCTCTTTTCTCTCCCCCCTTTTCTTCAATCCCCTTTTTTCCTTCCCCCCTTTCCCCCTTTTTTAATCTCCCCTCCACCTTTCCCCCTCTTTATCTTTTCCTTCCCCCTTTCCCCTCTTTATCTCACCTTCCCCTCTTCATCTTTCCTCTCCCCTCGGTCTGGGCAGCGTCGGAGGCGAGGAACTCAGAGTCGCTATTTTCTCGTAACTGGTCGATATGTCCCTCTTCCCCCCTCCCCCCCTCCCCCCTCCCCTCTCTCGACTGTTACGTCTCTCCGTCTCTCTTCCTTTATTTTCTATTCATTTTTTCTTGATATTATTGTGTTGTCTTTTCCTTCTGTTTCGGTTCTTTGTTTTCTCTCTCTCTTTTTTTCATGTGCTTTATCTTTTATTTTTTATTTCATCTTATTTATTATTTTTTTCGTACCTTTCGTGTTTGGCTTTGTCTATTTTGTCATTTCTTTCATTCTTTCTGTTATTTTCTTTATCATTTTGTTCGATACCACGTAGTTTTATTTTTCCTAAATCAATAACATTATTCTTGTGATGTAGATTTTCCGTCTCACCCTTTCTCCCTTTCTCCTCTCTCTTTTCTTTCATCTTTTTCACATCTCTCTATATGTATCTTTCATTTTCTTTCTTACTTTCTTTCGTATCTCATTCTCTCTCTCCTCCGTTCTCTCTCGTTCTCTCTCACTCTCTCTCTCTCTCTCTCTCTCCATCTTCTCTTCTTCTTCTCTCCATTTCCCTCTCACCTCCCCTCATTTCTGCCCCCTCTCCTCTTCCCCTCTTCCCCAGATACGTTCTCCTCTCCCCTTGTTCCAACGCTGACCATCTTCTGTTTACCTTTCCCCCTTCCCTAATTAGATTATCACAGCGTCGAGATCCGTCTATAACTAGGTGATCTGTGCGAGTATTTGCAACCTTATAGGTGGCTCTTGGTTTGTCCTTCTCTTGTCCCGAAGAGGAGATCCGGGTCTTCAAATGCCTCTTTGCTCGATAAAATAAATACATAAATAAATAGATAAGAAATAAGATAATAATGATAATAAAAAATATGTTCGATTTGCTGTCTCTTGAATATGTAGGTATGCATAGGTTTACACATACACGAGAAAGAGGTATTGTATACAAAATACAGCATTGTTATTACTGTTATTATTATCATAATGATGACAAAATTAGGGGTACTGATAAAATAATGTAACGATGATAATAAATAATGATAATGATAATGATGATGATAATGATAATAGTGACAATAATGATAAATCATGTATACTAATAATAAAAATGATGAGGATGATGATGAAATTAATAATAATGATAATAATAATAATAATAATAAATAATAATAATAATAATAAATGATATTAATAATAATAATAATAATAATGATAATAATGATAATAATAATAATAATAATAATAATAATAATAATAATAATAATAATAATAATAATAAATAATAATAATGATGATGATGATGATGATGATAATAGTAATACCGATAAAAATAGTAATACCGGTATTGGTAACAATGATAATAATGAAAATAATGATGATAATGACACTAATGATGATAATTCTGACAATAATAAATGACAAAAATCATAATGATGATGCTAATGATAACAATAATAAATGATGAAAATTATAATGATGATATTAATAATGATAGTGATAACGTTCATAAAAGTAATAATGATGATAATAGTAATAATGATAGAAATAATGATAATGATGAAATGATGATGATGATGATGATAACAATAATAAAAAACAATAATAATGTTCATAACAGTAATGGTAAAAATTATTAAAATGATAATGATTAATTATGACTGTTATCATTATTACTATTACCATTAGTATTGTGATAATGATAATAATCATTACTGCCTTTGTCGTTGTTGCTGTTGTTATTATTATAAGATTATAGTAATGTTGATAATGATAATAATTATAATGATAACAAGGACAATAACAATCATTTTAATAACATCAATGACAATAATAATATTGATAATAATTATCATTATAATTATTTATATCATTTTTGGTATCATCATCATCACTATCATGATAATCAACATGATTTTTATCATTATCATTATTGTTTCTGTTATTACTATGACTATTATTTTCATTATAAGCATTATCATCATCATCATTATAATCATTATTTATTAAACATTTGTTAATCAGGGATCATTATCAGTATCATTGTTATTATTATTATCATTGTTATCTTTATTACAATCAAAATTATTGTTATAATGATGATCATCATCATAAGCTTCATCATCATATTNATTTATCTGTTTGTGTATTTGATTTATTTCAGGGGAGGGTGGTGTGCGTTATTTGTTTTTGTGTCTTTCTTTCTTTCTCTCTTTTCTTTCTGTTCTCTTTCTGTCTCATATGCTGAGGTTTGTGTTTTTGTTTGTTGTTTGTGTTTGTCTTTCGTGTGGTTTGTGGTTATAGTGTTTTTGTTTGTTGTTCTTTTTCTCTTTCTCTCACATGGTATCTATGCCTATCACTCTTTTCTTTGGTCTCTGTCTGTCTGCGTCTCATCTTCTCTCTCTCTCTCTCTCTCTCTCTCTCTCTCTCTCTCTCTCTTCTCTCTCTCTCTCTCTCTCTCTCTCTCTCTCTCTCTCTCTCTCTCTCTCTCTCTCCCTCCCTCCCTCCCCCTCACCCCTCTCTCTCTCTAACACCCACACACTCACTCACCCATACCCACACACACACACGTACAAGCCCTCCCCCCCCTCACACACTCTCCCACTCACAAGCAAGACCTCAATCCCTCACCTTTT